ATTGTGGAACAGACAACCAACTACTCATATGCAAGTTCAAGCTGAAGCTGAGGAAAATTAAATCAAGTCCGCAGGAACCAAAATTTGATCTTGAGTCTATCCCACCCAAATTTCAAAACCATCTCAGGAACAGGTCTGAGGCCTTGAACATTAACGAGCAAAGACCAGATGAGCTACGGGAAGATATCAAGAATATCCTTCAGAAGAGTGCAAAAGGTTATTACAAAGATAGAGGAGGAAGAAAAGACCAAGATGGATGTCAGAAGAAACTCTAAATATTGTACTGGAGTGCCAAGAATCCAAAGCAAAGAGAAGAAATCAAGAAATTAAGGAATTGAACAGAAGATTCCAGAGGGCAGTGCAGGAAGACAAAGCAATGTGCAAAGAGCTGGAGTCAGAAAATCAAAGGGGCAGAACTAGCTCAGCATTTCTTAAGCTGAAGGAACTGAGTAACAAATTCAAACCTTGAGTTTCAGTACTTAAGGATGCTTTGGGCAGAATATGAAATTATCCAGGAAGGATTAAAACAAGAGTCATTGTACCAAAAGGAATTGGTGGACACAGAAGAACTTTATGAAACAACGTATGAGCAAGAGCCTGTGGTGATGAAGGAAAAAGTTCAAGCTACTATGAAAGAATCGGCAAAAAACAAGGCCCCAGGAATTGATGGCATACCAATTGACACATTTCAACAAACAGTCTACCCTGGATGTGCTCACCAAGTTGTGCCAAGAAATCTGGCGGACAACCACCTGGCCAACTGACTGGAAGAGATCTCTATTTATTCCCATTCCAAAGAAAGATGATCTGACAGTGTGGAAATTATCAGTATCATTGATATCACATGCACGCAAGATTCTGCTGAAGATTATCCAAAAAATGACTGGAACAGCACATCAACAGAGAACTGCCTGAAGTACAGCCTGACTTTAGAGGAGGCAATGGCACTAGGGATATTATAGCTAATTTCAGATGGGTCTTGGCTGAAAGCAGAGTACCAGAGGAATGTCTATCTGTGTTTCATTGATTATGTAAAGGCATTTGAATGTGTGGATCACAACAAACTGTGGCTGACTCTGAGAAGAATAGGAATCCCAGAACACTTGATCGTGCTAATGCAAAACCTATACTTTGTGGACAGTGTTTGGTGGAGCTCCCCGATTAAAACAAGCTTGGAAGCAGGAGTGGCATCCACTTCCATAATAGCTTGCCTCTGGAAATCCAACAAACCTGGAGAAAGGATGAAAGTTCTACAGGTGTCCAGGACTTTCATTCATAGGGTTGCTATGAGTCGCCTATGACTCAACAGCACTTAACAACAACATACTTGGACCAGGAGGCAGTCATCAGAACAGAGCAAGGAAACACTGCATGGTTCAAAATTGGGAAGGATGTGTTCTATCTCCATACCTTTTTAATCTATATGTGGAAAAGATTATCTAGGAGACTGGGCTCTATGAGGAGAAATGTAGCATCGGGATTGGAGGTAGACTCATCAACAATCTGCGTTATGCAAATGACACAACTCTGCTTGCTTGCTTAAACTAAGGAGGACCTGAAGGGCTTGCTGCAGAAGGTCACGGACTTCAGCCTTCAATATGGATTGAAGTTCAACATTAAGAAAACAAAGATTATCATCACTGGGCCAATTGACAACATCATGATAGATGATAAAGAGATTGAGATTGTTGATAGCTTTAGGTTGTTTGGCTCTACAATCAACACTCTTGCTACCGGCAGCCAGGAAATTAAAAAAAGAACTGCATGGAGTAAAGTCTGCTGTCAGATACCTATCCAAAGTACTTAAGAGCAACGACGTCAGTCTGGAGACTTAGGAGCACCTGCTACAGACCATAGTCTTTGCAATCACTTGCTATGCATCAGAGAGCTGGATAATGACTAGGGATGATAGAAGGAAATGGATGTCTTTGAGCTGTGGTGCTGGAGAAGAGTATTGAATATACCATACACTGCTAGGAGAAGAAACAAATTCGTCCTGAAGAGAATCCTTGAAGGCAAGGATTCTGAAGCTTCGTCTGACATACTTTGAAGATGTTGCAAGGTGGGATCAGTCCTTAGAGAGGGACATAATGCTTGGGAGGGTGGAAGGACAGTGTAGGAGAGGAAGACCTTCAATGAGATGGATTGATTCAGTCACTGGGGTAATGGGAATAAAGGCGTGTGGGAGACAATAAGATTGGCAAGGAATAGAACAAGGTTTAGGGTTGTTATCCATAGGGTCGCTATGAGTTACAAGTGACTGGACAGCACATAACAACAAGAAGTCATATCTGAATTGTGATGACATATACATGAGAGATACTTCATCCTCAAAACCTGCACCATCTTTACCATCATTGGCATGTTGAGGTCTATTGCTGTGGCCACTTTGTAGTAGTTCTGCCACGTGTCTCTGAAAGTTCAAATTCACTAGTGGCTGAGGGAGAAAGATGGGCAGTCTCCTCCTATTACAATTTATAGCTTTGGAAATCTGCTGGAAGGTCATTGTGAGATGGAACTGACTCAGTAACAGTGAGTTTTTGAGTTTCCAATCTAGAATGCTTATCTTCAACATTGTATTGGACAGTGATCTGTGGTGACCCATCAAGCTTTCACTGGTTAAAGTTCAGATCACACTAGGTCTTTCTTCTTAGTTGTAATCTAGAAGCTCAGCTGAAACCTGCATTCTATCGGTGGCCTGACTGGTATTTGAGTTACCATTCAG